CATTTTCATCCATGGAGGTGCTAGCACCATGTTTGTCTTCAAAATCATCTGCCAAAAATTCAAAACAAATCTTTGTTGAAGCAAAATAGCTACTTAAGTGATTAGTAAACAAAGATCAACTTCTACATGAATTTAAAAGTCAGAAGATACTTCTCAATTCATACCATGAGACACATCAACCTTCTTCACTAAAGCTTCATAATCTAATGCCATAAGTTTGGGGCGTTTCCTCTTTGTTTTTGGTCCAAAAGCATCAGCAAATGGCTCATTGTCAAGCAGATGAACTTTTACTTGCTTTAATCAAAAAGAGAAAAAGAGAAAAATATTAGCAAACAAATCCAGTATGAAGCATAAAGCAACAAGATTTAGCCTCAATTTGCCAAGTTATTCTATACACACACAAATAGTACATGTGCGTATCACAGGAAGCCCCCAAATCATACAATAATGAGTGCACATTAGAATTACAATAGCAGAGTAAAGAGATTCACGGTGACTCAGCAGGAACATAAGAACAAGTTGTTAAATAATAAAACTAAGGAAAAAGAATCTCCCATACCTTCTGATGATCATTTAAAAGGGACATGGGCAACTTCCTTTCTTTTAATATAACATTGTAGTTACTGGAAAGCCGAGTTTGGAGCTCTTCTCTAAAAAACTCCAGTTCCTTCTGGTTGACCACCCGAGTATTACCTGTGAAGTTGGAAAATAAATTCCCAATTCAATTATTTCAACAAAATTCAGTCATACACGAAAAGTAGCATCAACTAACCAAAGATGACATTTTTAACGATGAAAATAAAAAATTCAGCTCAATTTAATCATTAATACTCCCTCCACCTCAATATTAACACTTCCGCACTAACCCAACGCCAATTCTAAATAGATTTCAGCAACCTAATTAAGTCAGGTTGTCAAATTAATCTTCAGAAACACAAACTACAGGAGTACTACAAATTATCTCTGCTGGCAAAAGACTATATTTTGTAATTAGTAAGAACGTAGAAGTGAAAAGTGTGAAACTTTTCAGAACATACCGAACCAACGACGATCTGGTTGTATCCTTGTTGATGGCAGCTCCTTTGATTGTAAGTCGTGCTTAATTATGTGACCCTGAGGATTACGCTTCGGCCTGGTATTGTACATCTTGAGCCGCCGCACAGTAGCGGCGCTACGGCCATTTTTGGCTGCGCTGACATCCCTATTGGAGTCCAATGAATGCTTTGGCTTTCCCGATACATTCACCGACCTCTCTTTCTTCTTCGCCATCTCCGATATACGAAGAACAAAACTAGGGTTTAGGAATCGGCGATTAACGTTAATACCTCAGTCGTCTAGGCCGGTTTGTAGTATACACTCCACAAAGAAGAGGAGGCGTTAAGAGCTAAAACCTAGCTTTTTCAATATGTGTGAATTTGTTGGTTTAGATAATTACTCTAAGCTTCTTTAACTTTAGCTTATTTATGTTTTGGTATACTAAGTTTTTCTTCATCGGAAATGGTAATAGAGGCATACGTGTTACGTACTAAGTTTTTTCTCTCTTCAATTTCGCTCTTCTTCCTATAATTAGAAATTCAGAACTTGAGCTGGACGAGTTATGTTGTCTGGAATAGGATGGGTTAGAGAGCTTTAGCAGAATGCGATGAATTAAAATATATTTACAAACCAAGTGAATGTAATTACCAAAAATACTTTTGTTAAAGATGTTTTATAAGTATTTGATTGTTGAGTGAATTTTTTATATTTAAAGCTTAGTGATAAATTGATGATATAAGCAAATGGCTGTCACATACGTCTATACCTTCTCATTCATTTTGTAAACTCAAGTATAATAACCTGTAACTTATATAGGAGAGATAAATAATACTAAACAAGTCTAATATGACGAGCTATAGGAGAGATAAATAACACTAAACAAGTCTAGTATAACGAGTTCAAAAGTGTTACAGTACACAATACGGATTTGGCATTGTAAGGCATAATTTGTTGCTAAGAATGACCATTTGATCAAGTTTTCGACAACCAACAAAATAACCGTACATTTTCTAAATTCAGTCATCTCTGGAAAGTGAGCGTTAAATAAAATCAACTCATAGAGGAGTTCCTCCTCAAAAAAGCCAAAATCAACAGCAATTGTCAATAATCGTTGTTCTACAAACATCCTAAAAAATAAGTACCATAGTTCTCTTCTTGATATTTATATAAGACTCAACTTTTACTTCGCTAAAATTCTTGAATAAACTGAAGTATCTACTGATTAACTAAAATATGAGTTGTCCAATCTTATCTTTGGCTTCTCCCTTGAATCAACTTGCAGAAAAGGTCGGATTTAGATGGTTTGTCTCTTCATGAATCGTGGGAAGGGCGATCTGCAAAAGAAATTTATGATTAACAACATACACAATATAATTCAACAAATGAAGTTTGGGGAGGGCAGGATATACGCAGAGTTTACTCCTGCCTTGAGATAGAGAGGTTGTTTCAAATAGATAAGAAGTGCATACACAGAAACAACAAGCATAAACTCTTAAATTTGTGCGTTCTCATTTCATACCTTAAGGTGTATCGGCCTTCTTGGCTAATGATTTAAAATGTTTTGCGTGTTTTTTCTCTGTTCCAGCAGAAGGCTTACTGCCAAGTTGATGAGCTTTTCCTTTCTTCACAAAGATAAAAGAGGACGAAATTAGTAAAACATAATGAGGAATCAAGCACTAGTGTAGCAAGACCAAGCTAGTTCTCTTATTTTTCTATGAAGTAATAACAGGGTCATAATTAAAAAAGTATCAAGATGATGCAAAATTGCAAACAAAAAGTGTGTTAGATCGAATACATCAGAAACAAACTAGACTAAGACCAGGGAGCTAACGGAACCAAAGTTCGTCATCATTATTTAATGAAGTCAAGTTATTCCAACTAAACAAGTTAAGTAAACATATAGCTCGTGCTTACATAATATGAAGCTCACTAATAATTATTTTTATTGCAAAAACTCAAAACTGTTGTAATGTGTCCAGGCTAGTAGGCACCAAGTAACTCTGTCCACCAAGCTCGATGGTAAGAAATTATCCCAGGACCAATACAAAAGTTTACAACGAGTCAGGTAGACATTGACAAACAAAGCAAGTTCTTAAACAAATAGACTAAAGGAAAAGTCACTATGCATACCTTCTTGTGTTCATTCACAAGGGACATGGGCAAATTACTTCCATTCATGATGATATTGTAGTTGCTAGAAAGCCGATCTTGAATCTCTTCTCTAAATGATTCCAATTTCTCCTGACTAATCACCCGAGTATTGACTGTAGAATCCCGAAAATCATATCAATTTCAGATGATTCACATATAATTCTTACATAAGCAAAACTAAGCATCCATTATGAGCAAGTTAATCCACCATAATAGCAATTGAACAATAAGAAAATCAAAACATATTCAGCTAAATTTAAACACTAATACACCCTGCTCCCGTGAACCAAATCAAAGTATGTAACAGTTTTCACTAATAAAGTCATCAATTCGACCAATTTCTTATCATAAACTATATATCTATATCTATATTACTTTAAAAGCATAAAATCGTCATTCTTTGTTCAAATTATTTCTCCAGTGCTTTCACAATACTCGTCTAATTGACAAATCTACATGGAGCGTACAACTGTTAATCTATGGGGAGGTTTTGCAGAAAATGATTGGCTTATTTCTTGAAAAGTTGAGAGACGACCAACCTATTCTAGGCTTATGTGACATGAGAGTCTCAAACTATAAAAGGTCGTTTGATGTGAGGAATAAAAATAAATAGTGATTGGATAATCACTAGATCTTCGCGCCTGGTATGGAACCTCATTTACTAATATGCTAGGCATTATTCATTTAACCTCACTGCCCGAACTTATGTTCAAAGTACAATTGAACAACGTAGCCACCATTTACTTAGCGGAAACTAAATATCACCAGTCCCAATCGATTTAAAATGTAATCTAACCAATTTAAAACCCACAAAGATTTTCTCAATTACGTGCTACAGTTAAATCACCTCCCACACCAAGTAAGGCAATGAAAAAGGCCACAAAAGTGATGTTACCCAATATTATGGATGGAACGCTTGATGATACACAGGTTAACTTCAAACCAACACTTCACCTATACACATAGGACCACTATTTTTAAGCATCACAAGACGAGGCAACCACAACGCACATGCGCTAAATCTAGTAAAAAATATAGAAGCACGAACGATAAAATTTTTTGGGAAGAGCACATACTGAACCATCGGGGATCTGGCTGTATCCTCGTTGACGGAAGCTGCTTTGATTGATACTCGTGCTTCAATATTTTGCCCTTCCGGTCACGCTTCGGCCTAGAATTATACATCTTCAGCCGCCGTGTAGTGGCGGAGCTACGGTTGCCGCTTTTGTTCTTCGCCATTTTGTGTGAATAAAATAAAAAAAGGGGTTTTAAAAATAATTCTCCATGCACGGAGAACGTCAATAGAATATATATTGCGATTTTGTTCTGAAAATTACTGTAAGATCCTCTAACTTTAGCTTATTTGTCTTTTTGCATACTAAACCTTTTCATATTTACTCCTTTTCCCGCTATTGAAATTTTTCTTTTTATTTGGAAGAAATAAATCTACCACCTTACTTGCTCGTTCATTTTTACTTTTCTACTTTAAAATTTTGCATTTGATGACAAATTAAAATGGAAAAATAATACGTCAATGTCATTTTTTTTATTTTTGGTCTTTCGGCAATATCTGATATGTATATTGAAATCCGACTAAATTTGAATTCACGTTGAAAAGAATTTTTTGGACTCCCACCTACATTGAAGCCCAACAAAAAGGTGATTCCACATCCAATAGAAACTCAAATTCAAAACCTTTGATTAAAGATGAAGGCTTACTTACCACTCCATTACGACCCTTGTTAGGGCCAAAGGTCATTGAGATATAGCGATATTTTGAAAACCAAAACAACATAATTGTCATTTACTTCAGATTAAGATTTCAAAGTATTTTCTTGTATTTATTTACATTCAATGAAATAATTGTGTAAACAAGGGCATGAGAGTTCCATGGATAATAATAAAAGGAGAAAATTATAAAGTAATAGCCTTGTGTATCCAACTGATTCTACCTGCCATATTCAGTTGCTGCACATTGTGCAATGTCTAAGTTCTGAACCAGCTATGAAGAAAAATGATAGTATTATCCATGCTACACCAATGCTATGTCGTAATAGCTCTGTTTCGACTCCACTGTACATTCTCGAGTAGTAGCATCTAAGTTGCTAAAACACTCGGTTACCTAATCTTCTTTTGGCTTCTCTCTTGCATCTTCAGTTTCACTATTCTGCAACAGCTTGAATTTAAGTATCTTTTGAAGCTGTGTTACAGGCTTGACTTGTTTCGACTTGGTTTGCTTAGGATCTAACGTGGGCCTTCCTGGGCAAAGGTTAGCTTCAGAAGGTCCAGCTTCTTCAGGAGGGGTATCTGCCAGAACGTTTACTTGGTGATAAAATTCCAGATAGATTTGAAGAATTATTGTTCTTTTATATTATCCAACTAATATGCAAAACTCATGAAACTAGAAAACTGAATGTAAGTCTAAATAGAAAAAAGACATGAGGCAAGGAGTCGTGGACTAAAAAATTCTGAAGGCCCCCTCCTATACTTATGTTTCATTGTGTCGAATGCACATTATGTTAGAGGACATGTTCCAGAAAAAACGTACTCTATTCATATGAACCTAAAAATGACAGATTCCCTGGATCACAGTCTACTATGTGCCTAATGTTGTCACAAATTATCATTCACGGATACCAGGAGGCAGCCCAGTGTCAGTTATAAAGAACCAAGTTCTGACCCCAGGCAAATTTTTGTATGGTAGAAACAGGAAAAGAAGAACTCCCTCTTATTTTAAAAAAAAATATTTTTTGGGATGAGATGGAACATCACCAGCACCGTTGAAGCTAGATTAAAGTAATCAGGAAAGTAGCTCATTCCTTTTCTTGTTCTATTATAATATGTTGCGGAGAGGAACATGGCTTACCTTTTTCATCAAAAACAAGGCATGTCCCAATAGTCTCATCATACTGTCCAATCTGCAAAACAGAAATAAACAACAGTTGATAAACACACTTCTACGGTACGAAAATAGCATACGAACTAATCAGCTTAATTGCCCAATGGGGGTTCATATGCATGCGAGGATAATCAAAAGATACAACATATTTGGATTGTATAACCACAATTGTTACACCCACTCTCCATTATATCTACTTTGTTTTCCCTTCACAGACTCTTTTGTTCTAGAAAGATCTCAATTAACGACTCGCCAGAAATAACAAGGGGATTGAAATGGACACAATCTGTCTATATCCTCTCACAAATGGAAGACAAAACTGTGAGGACAGAGACCTATCAGCCATAAAGTTTCATTTAAGTGCATTATTGTCTATTTTGCAAGAAATAGCTAGACAATAAAGTGAGTGTAATGTCACTGATGTAAGTGAGGCGGCCTTTTGGTGTGTAAGGATGTTTAGCGGGGATCAAGATGACTGACCAATGTAATGACTAATGTCACTAAGGAGATACATACCTTTATAAGAATATTACCACACTAACAACTAATCTCATTAAGGAGATATATTACAATTCTGTAAACATGATTGATAAATTCAAAACAAAAATGAACTTGAAGCAGCCTCGAAAATCACCCACTCACCAGCTTGATTTTACCATCGATGGTCAAGATGGGGTTCAATGTGTCAAGACCCTGCAAAAACAAGTTACAAAATTAAAGAAACAAAGCAATTGCAATAGTTTTCAAGAAGCTGCAAGAACAATCTAGTTGTATAGAATTAAAGAACTACTCGAATCAATGAGTATCTAACAAGTCAAGAAATAAAAGGAAAGCCAAAAGGGTTATCACTTAGTTTTGGATCTATAAGAACATCAAAACATTGAAACAGAAAGGTGAACTTGGAATCATACCGAGAGAACGTATGGTGCATTTGGGGGAATGTAAACTTCACAAGGAAGGTCATCTAGATCAAGCAATACATACTCTGCTTCCTCCATGTTATCATCACAAAGTGACTGGTTTTCCATCATACAGCGCAGCAGAAAGTAACAACACCAAGAATTGCAATGGATGATACACAGAGGAGGGAAAGAAGTGAAGGAGAAAAGCTGAAAAAGAAAAAAAAGAACGTGTAAAACAACGACGTAGGAATACCTTACTTTTTAATTGTACAACAACTTTATATATAGATGTCACATTGCCCCATAAACTTCAATCAATGACATAATGCAGCAAATGTATTACGTATTAAACAGTAAACAAGACACATTCTTCTTACAATCACCCTGTGCATTACTATTGTGCTTCAGAACATCAATTTTGTTAACTTCTTAAAATCTCCTCATATTTGAGCAATTGTGAAAGTCAAAACAACAAGAGTCATGTCAGCATTCCTTCGTCCGACCAGGATATATTTTACAAACAAAAAATCAGTATTCAGATTCTATTATTGTTCTATCTTATGAGAGAAATAAATTAAAATGTGAATTTCTCACCATGAACTACAACAGTAAAGTACAGTTTAGCAAGGAAAACACATATTAGAATGTGAATTTCTCACCATGAACTACAACAGTAAAGTCCAGTTTAGCAAGGAAAACACATATTGAATGCGAATTTTCATCAGCTCTAATTGCTTTCATATTGTTCAATGTAACTGGTGTACAACGAGACATATCATTTTCATATTTCTAAGTCTTGGAAATCCTGGTATGACATGGTTTCAATATTTTCTTACTGTTTAAATTGGTTTCTTTCCTCACTTTCTACTGTAAAAGAGCAAACTGAAAAAACTAATCATCATTTTAACATATGATCACACTATTTCGCAGAAAATGGCTTCGTAAAAGAACAGAATGCTCAAAAAGGAAGAAACAGACAAGAGCAACCAACATAATTAAATGAAATTCAAACACTCATGTGTGAGAGAATGACACTGTCAAATTGTTCTTCAAGGGACCAACAGATCAGCAAAATCAATGCCACCAGATATTAAATAGTGAATACTATTGTAAATGATTTCATGTACGAAACCTATTAATCAAAATGAACATATTGGAAATTTAGTCAATTGAAGAAGCAGATTCTCATTTTTTCCCCCTTGCTGGGTGAAATGGTATAATATTTCATATAAGATATGAAGAACTAGAGGACATAAAAAACATTTCAAGAAGAAAAGATAACAATAACAAAAAAAAAGAGGGAGAAGCTAAGAGGCAGGAAATATGAATGACGGAACGAAAAAAAGTAACTTTACGACAGCATCACAATAAAGACAAATTTTATGGGATTTTCTCCTTTGCTCAAACATATGTATTGGAAATCAAGGGGCTTAGAAATCCAATTCCTCCATCTCCTTACTTCTGACATTTAGGTAACTCGAGTTCTAGTTAAAGGCGTCTACGAAATTCCCATTACTAATACTCTGCCTGCTGAATTGAGGTAGTAAATCAAACTAAATAATCTAGCAATTGCATGATCACTCGGTTCACAACATCATAACAATAACATACCCAGTGAAATCCCGCAAGTAGGATCTGGATATCCCACATGATCATTTAAAAGATAGTTTCCGACCGTAAAAGCTAAACATCTCAAGCTATTTCTGTTTTTATTCCTCAGTCTTCTCTTTTTCTCTATTTTTTCATGCCAGTGCTTACACTTTTCAAACATTAGGAATACAGAGAGCACTTCATCTGTTTCATTCTAAGATGAAAATACAACAATAATTTTAATAGATAAGATAATTTTTCATGGAAGCAATACGGAGGTGTGGTGCTGCATTACAGTAGGAACTAGTACAAAAAATCAGAAATAAGCTATTATACTTCAGAAAAAATTGATACGTTAATGCATATTTTTTAGTTTATGCGACATTATTGATAAGAAAAGGAACAGGAGAAGAAAGAGCTGAGAATTACCAGTTGAAATAAGCTACCGCCTGCCGCCTGCCGCTTGGATTTCGCCGGAATCGAGAGAGACAGAGATAGAGAAACCGGGTGGTAAGTGGCAAACGGGTAAGGGCTAAGAATTTGGGCTTGGTCTTGGGCTTATGGGTATTGATTGCATTGGGCTCAACTAAAAGTTTTTGAAAAAACATAAAAATTAATGGGAAACTTACATAAATATAATATAATAAAAAAATATTTATCATTTATAACAATAGTATTTTCTTTTCAGTTGATCACTTTTAATTTATTTATAATACAAGTTTAATACATATTACAAAGAACAATTTATTATTCACGTATAATACAAATTTTCATGATGAATAATACATTATCACACATTTTAATACAGTTGTAACACAATGTGACAATTTTTTACCAAACAAACATGACATATTTCAAAAAATAATTATAATTCATATATATTGCATACGTAATTCACTTTTAATACATATTACAGATTTAACAAATAATTGTTATAAATGGTAATAAACAAAAGTATCGCTAAAATAAGTAATTATTTTTTAAAATGTATTAATTTATGTATTTTTTTCAAGTTAATAGTGAGATAAACTCATTAATTTAATTATTTCACGTGATATGTATAAAATTACAATATTTCAGTATATTATACATATCTGTAGATTAAAAGCACATGATTCAAGAGTATTCTTTATTTCTAAAGTTATGTGTCAAATAAAAACCAGACAAATAAATTTAAAGATAGGAGTATATTCAAAACATAACGATGCTTTGATTTTAAAGTGTAGCAAAATACATGTTTTTATGGCATAAAATACCTCATCCTAACTAAAAATCGAACGAATTTATTATCTGGTCATAACCAAACGTGTATGCATGTATGTATGTATGTAAGACTAATTATATGTGTATGTATATGTGGACAATGAAGGCTAGAATAAGCCTTCATCGTGTGTTTCGATCGATAAAATCCTCCGAGTGACTGACGACGTGAGCTCGCTAGGCTCATTGGATGAGAAAAGTCATTAGAAAGACAAGACTTTACAACAAATACATATAAAAATATTGTAATTATAATACATAATTACGGTTAATTTTTATAATTATTTTAAAAATAAATTTAAATTTAATTGTACCTATCGAAAATAAGAAAAGAAAGCACGATTAAAGAAAAAGAGAAATCATTGCCTGTAATTTGGTGTCTTTCCTAGTTGGACATTTTTGTCTGTAAATCTTTTTTTTTTCTCTGCCTTGCTTGTTAATCTTTAATACTTTATTCTTCAGTCAGCATTTTGGTTTATTAAAGCTTTAACTTTTAGTCGCTTTCATCTTTTTGCCACTTCTATATAAAGAAAAAAATTCCACTATTAGACTGTTTCTTTACCTACTTTTAGCTTAATTTCTTGTTTATCAAGGACCCCTCAACTCAATTTTCATTCATAGATCCGATATTTGCTCAAATTTGTGTTTATAAAGTTCCTATCTTTGTGGGGTTTTGGAGTTTTTTCTTGTAATTTGGTAGAAAAAGAGTTTAATTTTGTTTTGTTTGTTCAAGTTTGTGTTTTGGGGTTGTTGTTTCTTGATGATTTATTTCGACTTAGATTATAAGATTTCCCCACCAAGTCCTTCATTTTCTTATTCAATTTCATCAAATTTTCTTACATCTGATATTTTCTTGATAAAGTGTGTTAATTGTTTCCATTTTCGTATAAAAGATTGTTTTTGTGAAGGGAAAATGGGGGATCGTTTGAGGTCAACTTTAATGGAGGATTTGCCAGTACATTTGATTCTTGAAATATTGATGTGCGGTCGATTAGCTGTTATTGATTTAATAAGTTTAGAGCTAACTTCAAGGACTTTTAGGGGAACACATGGTTTGTTTCCTAAAAAGTTCAAGTCTTTGGTAGATTATGCTGCTTTTCAGCTTTGTGGATTGAGTTCAATCTATGCTTCTTTGCATTGTAATGCTCAGGAAGAGCTGTTGACGCGATGTAACGGCAATTGGAAGCGTCTTTTGAGGTTCTTGATGGCTGTGGAACAGTCCTCTGATATGGTTGAAACTTCTGCAGGCAATGTACTATTTCTTTGGAAAACTTGTTATTCGTTTATCAATGTTTACTTTGTTTGGTTGATTGCTATTTTTAGGACTAATAATATATGGTCGAAATGTTACTTATCAAATAGATGGATGAAATGTTTTCAGACACTATTTTTGTTGTTGTCAGTCAGATAGGGCCAAAAATGACACTTCTCGACCCCTTTTCGGCTTCTTCGTGTATTTACCTTATTGTATTTTGAACTCCTTAGTGAAAATTTGGACTCTTCAACTGGATGGAGCGCGTGATTCCTCTGCTTCACATATAGCAGTAGGTACTAGGCTATCTTTTTTTGTTTGGTTAAGGAATTGTATGTAAGGTTTAGTGAATTATTTAGTATTGCAATGAAATGGGACCAAATAGAATGGAATGGATAACGGTTTTATGATCGAGGTTTAGTTGCTGATTGATTTCTACCTTAATATTTCTAGATTTTAGTTACTCGCTTCTACTAGAATAGTCTGCAGCTAGGACTTCATCTTTTGTTATTACTTACTGTAAAAAGTTCTTGGCAGATGCAAATAAGGAGTGGCAGGTATCACACACTGCTAATCAATGATTCAGCAGCATACTCTTGTGGTTCCAGTTTATGCGGCGTCCTTGGTCATGGGCCTGAAACAACTCAGTGTGTGGAATTTACTCGAATTAGCTTTCCTGTTCCCGTACAAGTTGCGCAAGTTTCAGCTTCTCATAATCATGCTGCTTTTGTCACAGGGTCTGGACAGGTTTGGCAATCGGCGTATATTATCAACTACTCTCATTTTTATTACAGTAATTTACCTTTTACGTGCACTTTGTTTTTTGCATGCATGATGTGGAAATCCTCGTTCTGTTGAGGAGTAAAGTAAAGAAGGTGAAAGAGGAAGAATGAAAATGGAGACAAGCAATCCAATCACATTTTCGTTTTTTTGGGAAATTATTTTAGGAGAGGTTCCTTTGGGAGACTGATACTAATATTGTTGAAATATATATTGACTTTGAAAAATGCAAGAACTGCCACACCATGCCACTCTGCAAAAAATAATTCTTACTATTTTAGTATGAGTTGGACCTAAAACTTACCGGCATGGTGTGGTCAATAAAATGGGGCTAACCTTAGAGACTATTAACAAAAAATACTCGGTGAATTCTTCCTATTTGCTTAAGCTTTAGTATACAATGTTAGTCGATACTTCTATGTTTCTATCTAAGTGCTGATCAAATACTTCTGCTCACTTTTTCCTATCCCTTCTGGGGAAAATCAGTCATCATTCTGCCAATTTGTAATGGCTAGTGCTACTGCAATAAAATAAGATAGAAAAAAAATTTATATTTCGAGCAGATTGATGCACCTTACGATGAGAGAGCCTCTCAAGTTTTGTACCGCTTAGACATATCCCTTACGAAAGTCCACAGTAGGTTGCAATATTCGAAGTGTGTTAGAGAATCATTCTCTGTTGTAAATATGCTAAAAACTGCCATGTTTTGTCTACTTCTACAACATAGAATGTATATACATACTATTGCATTTTATATTATTCATGAGGTTTACAATTCTTGGTATAGGTGTTCACATGTGGAGATAACTCATCATTCTGTTGTGGGCATAGAGACACTGGACGCCCAATCTTCAGGCCAAGAATGGTTGAAGCATTGAAAAATATTCCTGTCAAGCAGGTAAATTTCTTTCTATCACGTCATGCCATCTAATTGACGGGATTACCTCAATACATGTTACAGATTTGGATTCTTTTTTGATGTTGTTGTTTTTGTTGAAAACTGTAAGTTCAATAGAGATTGAGATTCTATACATGGTTTACGATTAAGTTGATCTTTTAGTTCTGCTAGATCAATTTATGGGAATAAATGATACTGCGTCAAAATTTATTTGTTTGTTTGGAGGAGTACTGGTTAAGAAAAAAATGATGTGATGATTTGAAATATCTGCAACTTAGGAGGATTTTAGAGTCTGCCAGGAATTTCTGGTCTCTCTTATCAAGACCAACTACGAAAGAAAATAGGGAACCGAAGGATAAACTCCACTAAGTTTTAATAGCATAATTCAAGCTGTGAATGACATAAACACCTTCTTGTTCCTATGTTTTATTGCAATAAGCTTTCTGTCATTTCTTGAAATGCTTTTTGATAAAATTGGATCGACAAGCCACTCTTGAATAAATGAAGGCTAAAAATGAAAACGAGGTATTTTTAAGAGTTAGGCAACACCTATGACATGTCCATTAGTTTTAGTTGCAAATTGGAAATACCATTGTAGGTGTTACGGTGCTAATGCAGATCTAATTGGTTCCCAGCAATGTGTATGTGATGCTCTTCTGCATTTTTTCATTGTCTGTAAATGTTTTGGGTTCGTTTATCTTTAAAATTGGGCTTAATTTTGTAGTATCTTTGAAAAAGTACTCTCTCCATTTCAATTTATTTGTCTGATTTTGATTTGACACGGATTTTAAGAAAGTAAGGAAGATTTTTGAATAGGATATATTGAATGTATTAAAATGTCCTTTAATCTTATGCCTTAAACATTCCATGTGGTAAAGTTGGAAATAAAGAGTTGCCTAACACGGAAAGAACATTCTCTTTTAGACATACTAAAACGTGAAGCTGTTAAGTTTTGTCATAATACATTGCTCACTACTGTTGGAACTGGTTCAGGTTGCTGCAGGTCTCAGTTTTACTATGTTTCTCACTAGGAAAGGTCATGTTTTCACATGCGGAACGAACGGACATGGTCAACTTGGTCATGGTGACACATCGGATAGGCCAACACCGACATGTATAGAACTACTCGCATCTATTGGTTCTGTAGTTCAGATTGCTGCTGGACCTAGTTATGCACTTGCAGTGTCTGATGATGGGACTCTATACTCTTTTGGTTCGGGTACTAATTTCTGCCTTGGTCATGGAGAACAGCAGAATGAACTCCAGCCACGTGCAATCCAGTCGTTTAAGAGGAAGGGCATTAATGTGGCTCGTGTTTCTGCTGGAGATGAGCATGTTGTGGCACTGGATTCCACTGGATATGTAAGTCATAGTACCTAAAAAATAACACG